GTGGCTGAGGCTTCTTTGAGGAAGGCGTCCTCAAGGCGGCGTAGAATCCGTAGAACTCTCTCTACACAGAGGCGGTCAGCAGGCTCACGGTCCCCCACCTTCACCAGGGCAGGAGGGACCGCCCTGCAGCCAGGCGCTGGGAGTCCTTCCTCCTTGGTCAAGAGCATGCTGCAGCGCCCCACCCCCACTCTGGATCAGGGAGCTGCTGGCCTCGCTCTCAATCTCGCCCTCATCATGTGTCCATGAGGGAGACCTGCCTGGTTGAGACCTTTGTCCCCAAAGGCAAAACAAAGAGAAACCAGGTCCTTAAGGACACCACAAAGCTGCTATAATGATGAGATTCGATAGATCTCGGTTTAGTTTGAAAGCCATGACAGATGAGGTTGTTTGCAACCCAAATTATTCAGATGCATTTATTTTCTTCGGCCTCTTCGTCTAGACCAATGTTGCCTTATGACCAAACTGTGACATTATCCTTTTATTTTCTGATCCGCCCACTTATGAAATGTTTACAGCATGATATTCCCGATCCCATGCTGATTTCCTCTTTAAAAATCAACAGAAATGTGGAACTAGTGTGTAAGATCCAGTGAGGGGTGTGAGCAGATCTATTTCCACTACAATATTTGTTCACCTGTGAGGTCCTTCAGGCTTCTGGGCATCACATACATTTTCTTTAAAGGATTCTAAAGATTGGAAAAAAGAAGAGAGGAAAATATTCTTTAAGAATCATTTGGGATCTAAGAATTACTAAGCTTGTTGTCGTCAAAAGCACCAGTGATCTGTCAAGTCTCTACATTGTAGAAGAAAAGGACGCTGAGTTGTGTGATCTGAAGTGATCTGAAGTGTGTACAGCAATAAAATATTAAAACTGAAAAGACCTCGGAAATCACCTAGTCCCACCCTGCTCTCTGTACATGGACAACTTTACAAACTTCAGAAACTCAGAGCCAAATGGAGGTGCCAAAAAAGCAAAGTGGACAAGTAATAATAAACTATTTTGATAGCTCACGGTTTTTAAAGATTATGAATAAAACATATAAGACAGGCTAGTCAGATTTCTGTCGATTCGACAGAGGCACTGCAATTGAAATTCTCTAAACTAACCAAGGAGTAACAAAAGTGAAATAGGCATTACAATCATAATTATCCATTCACAACACCATTTTTTGTAACTCTGTATATAAAGTATGTTCACGCAAAATTATGCCATTATACATGTGCTCTCTTATTATTTTTGCATTACAATTCTTAATACACCTTTATACCACAAGTTATCATCTCTCTGATTGTATATAAGGTATGTTGACACCAAATTCACATCTTCATACATGTATTTTGTATAATGATGAGGGTCTCCTTCCACCATCCATGCTATTCCCCTTCTCCCTTCCTTTCCCTCGCACTCCTATCTAGGAGTAATCTTCCACTCTTACTCTCCCTCCCAACCCCATTTTGAATCACCCCCCTTATATCAGAGAAGACATTCCGCATTTGTTTTTTGGGGGGATTGGCTAACTTCACTCAGCATAATCTTCTCTAATGCCATCCATTTCCCTGCAAATGCCATGATCTTATTCTTTTTTATTGCTGAGTAATATTCCATTGTGTATAAATGCCACATTTTTTTTTTATCCATTCATCCACTGAAGAACATCTAGGTTGGCTCCACAGTTTAGCTATCGTGAATTGTACTACTGTAAACATTGATGTGGCTATGTCCCTGTAGTATGCTGTTTTTAGGTCCTCTGGGTCTTCTTGGACTATATAGTCCAAGAAGAGGAATAGCTGGGTCAAATGGTGGTTCCATTCTGAGCTTTCCAAGGAATCTCCATACTGCTTTCCAAATTGGCTGCACCAATTTGCAGTCCCACCAGCACTGTATGAGTGTACCTTTTTCCCCGCATTCTCGCCAGCACTTGTTGTTGTTTATCTTTATAACTCTTACTGAAATGAAATAGTATCTTAGCATAGTTTTAATTTGCATTTCTCTGATTACTAGAGATGATGAGCATTTTTTCGTATATTTGTTGACTGACTATATATCCTCTTCGGAGAAGCCTGGTGTTGTGAATGGATAATTATGATTGTAATGCATTCCACTATTGTCATGTATGTAAGAAATATTTTTTAAAAAGTTTTTAAAAAGATGCAATAAGATATACAGTTCCTTTATGTACACTTCAACCACTGCAAATAAAAATTGCAACAGTAGGCATGTTAGAGAAAAAATAAATAAATAAA